GATCCTCGCCGACAGTCGGCCTCTCCGGCATGCCAAAACGCCGGGAAGTCCAGCCTCCTAACCCCATCACGCGCCCGTCCGAATATCGCCGACTACCCACCCCGTTCCCACACACCACTCTGGAACCGGTCCTCGTGATTGTTGGAACATGTATCGACCGCATTCGCGGCGGATCGACATTCCCGGGTTTATCGAGGGGGCGCGTTTCCGCAGGTAATCGGCCCTCGGACCACGAGTTCCTAAAAGCCTGCAACTCACACCGTGCTTCTGGTCCACATACGTCGACGGCAAAGCGAAGGCGATCCGGCGAACGAATACGTACCATCACCGAACAGTTGGACGCCTCGACCGCAGCTTGCGCGCACCCCACAGATCATCGTGGTCACAACCTCGACTGGAGGAAGTCGAACTGCTGCGGCGAGGAGATCGTGCAGTCGAGTGCACGCAAAGCCACAGTCGGCGAAGATGTCGCCGATCTACTTCATCTCACAGCGGCAACATTTCGCGCGCGGAATCGATGACCTGATTAGCCGCAGTATCCTACGACGTTGGGCGACATCCGCAACACTCGGAAAGAAAGAGCTACAACGCAGTCTCCTCTCTCTTCAGAGACAGTCATCGTGGACCGAGCCATCTAGACGGCGACAGATCCGTTGGAAAACACCAATCGACCAGTCCTCGACTCGCAGCGGCAACGCGAGGATGGTCGTTGGTGCACAGGGCGCCAACAAATTCCGAATCGTTCATGACCGTCGCCTGGGTGAGACTGCGCCCTCGGCTCAACCTCGACACTGGTACTCCGCTACGTTCAGTTCTACCCGACCACGTCGTCTCGAGCGCATGAGATGTCACCACGCCTTACGTCGCGCCGAGCGCAAAGAAGGTGACGTGATCTTGGTGTCGGCGAGTGGGCGTTCGCGTGGCATTGACGATAGCGTCATGTCCCGCGAAGGCGGGACCCGAGGGTAAAAGTAAAAAACAGCCGTTTGATTGTCATATTTGCGGCACATTCGACCCGGTTCACAACGGGCCCATCGCCATCTGCTCGATGCCTTGCGCACGAACTCAGCGACGCCCAAGTCCCTGATGGTTCCCGCTGGAAAGCCCTGGGTTAAGGGACCAAACCGCCGACATAGCAGCAGTCGACACCGACGCCTGCACGCATGGTCAACTGGATTCCAAAACGAAGAACAGTATCGAGGTGTCAGAAATGTCGACAAAACACCGCCCGGAGGAACGACCTATTGTTCGATCGACCACGATACCATCGACAAACCCATGGCGGCGACTTCGAGTTTCATCATCGCCATAGGATCCTACGCCGGCGGCGACGCTAATCTTGGTGGAACCGCTACGATGACTTGCTCAAGCTTTGTACCTTTGCTGTCGTCCGACGAACAGAAAGTAACTCGATCGGTGGGTGCCATGCCGCTGGGGTTACGATCGTTATTCCTGGTCCTGATGCTTCGACTTAGCGGCCTCGAAATTCGAGGATTTACGTTCTGGGTCGACAGCTGTCGTGTCGCAGCAGTAAACTCGTTCCAGAGCCGACACACAGATTATCATCGAGCGACAGACTATTACCAATGCGTCCGCGACGAAGCCATAGCCACGCCGAGAGGCTGCTGAGACGCTCTCTCATGTTAGACGCGCTGCTGCATACGGCGAATCACGTTGGCTGGGTGCCACTCTGAGTTGCTACTACTTCGACTGGCCTTTACTGACTATACGACGGCGAGAGCGTTGAGATCATCACGACCTCTCGTAGACATCTTGATGCGTCGCGACATCCATCGCTTGGTGGGCCGCTGTCGCGGCAGTGCCATCATCGGCGCCATGGCACTTCAGATTGCCAAAACAGATGACATCACAGGCTACTTCGTCCGCCCCGAGCAAAAACAACACGGGATGGTCAAACAGTTAGAAGGTCATATCTCACCAGGCGATCGTGTCGCAATTTGGGACGAACACAATCTCCACTGTGGATCGCTGCTCGACGCCGTCGATGCCGTGACGCCTTGCCAGCAAAACATCGAGATGGCATGCTGTCTTCATCGACAGTGTGCAGGGCGAAGCGACCACCTAAAAGAACGTTCCTCCGCTCTCAACATCTGGCCAGCAACCAGTTGGTCAGTGTATAGTTGACAAAGAATCGTTGCGACTGGTTTGAAATAGCCGGATCCTGAAGATCGGTCCAATCCTGAGCTTAATCAGGGCCGTCCAATCGAAGCTCACGCGGGCTTTTGCTCATCGTCTCAGCCACGCCGCGGTGCATTTGGACTCGCCTACAGGCAGATATCGACCAACCAACGTTCGAAGAAACGCTAGCCGCCATCGATCAGAACACCATCTGGTACAGCTGGCACGGCACAGCACGAGCATTCTTCGGCGCTTCGCTCATCATCGCGGCGGCATTTATCAAACCTGCCATGTTCCTCGCCCGCGGCTGGCAGTTACGACTATCTAGCATCGTTCTCAACTGGGTGGCATCGCGATGATCACGTCGGGTGTCATCGTGCTCTTCATCTCTACCGTCTACTGGACCGACGCTTACGACGTCGAATCCTTCGACCACTACCGCGAGATCGCCGGAAGTATCGGCAACACCTTATCGGCTTGGCCATCATCCTGCTGACCGTCGTGCAATGGCGACTGGGTGGGTTCATGAAGCCAGTGGCCTTGCTTGCTCCGTTTGTGGGCATTGGAATGATCCTCGTTTGGATAGATGCCGCAACAATCTTGCACCGAATCTCCGGGACTGGCTTCCTAATCTGGCTGCTTGCCACGGCGATCGTGCTGATGTCGGGTACATTCGCTTCGCCGCAAACAGAGCCGAACGTTGGCATCGACGACGGTACTCATAAACTACGGATTTAAGTTCGCGACAAATTGTCAACATCCTCGCGACTTCCACGCGAGAAACTGTCAAATAACGGTGGAATTTCCACACGCGACCACACAACCCCTACTACTGTCAAACGGCCCCTCGGGAACTCAACAACATCTTGACACCATGTCAACACTCTCACGAACCGACAAGGACGCCGATCCCCGTTCAGAGACCAACGTCCTCGAAAACTTCTTGACGATATCGACGTGCTTGTTGTGATTGTTATTCAAGCGGATATGTCTAATGAGAGTCTTGTACTGTAACCAAAGAATCAAAAATCTTGACATAGAACAAACGCGCGTATAACATCGCACACAATGAAGAACCCTGAATCTGGCCGAGGTGCTACAGTCTACACAAACGATGCGACTCTGGCACCAAATAAGGGATCTAGTCATCCCAATACGCGCTGAGCAGCCTTCACTCCTGTGACCTAATCATCATGACTGCCTTCCAGACATCGATTACGTTCGAAACAGAGTCAGTCGACAAGGCTCAACTTGTCCATGGCGATGCTTTCGAGTGGCTGGAAAATGCGGAGCCCAACTCGGTACATGCCGTCGTGACAGATCCTCCTTACGGCCTGCTCGAGTACACGCCTCATCAACTCGAAAAGATGCGAAACGGTCGTGGGGGCGTTTGGCGTCTTCCACCATCATTCGACAACGCGATCCGCAAACCCGTTCCCCGGTTCACTGTCCTGACCGACGGTGATAAGAAGCTCCTTGAGGGGTTCTTTAGTCGATTTGCGAACCTCATTATTAAAACGTTGGTACCTGGGGCACATGTGTTCATCGCGACCAACCCATTAATTTCACATCACGTCTACTTGCCCTTGATAGCGGCGGGATTCGAAAAACGGGGTGAGATTATCCGTGTGGTGCACACATTGCGGGGAGGTGACCGCCCCAAGAATGCCCACGAGGAGTTTCAATCAGTTACGGTGATGCCGCGGTCGTGTTGGGAACCTTGGGGGTTGTTCCGCAAACCGTTGGAAGGCCGGGTCCAAGACAATCTGCGAAAGTGGAAAACCGGCGGTCTGAAGAGATTATCTGACGATGCGCCTTTCAGAGATTTGATCGTCTGCCCGCCTGCCCGGGGACTCGAGGCGAGGATCGCACCCCATCCCTCGCTGAAGCCCCAAAAACTGATGCGACAAATGGTCCGCGCCTCTTTGCCATTGGGTCAAGGCACTATCTTGGACCCCTTTATGGGCAGTGGCGCAACGATCGCCGCGGCAACTGCTTGCGGGTTAGACAGCATCGGAATCGAGACCGATGCCGAATACTTCCATCTCGCGCAATCTGCCGTTCCGCTTCTCGCCGAATATGTCCCGAACGGCGATAACGATCATGGCTAGAGCGGAATGGTTCGACGCATCCGTGACTCTGCCGTCGGGTCTCACTCGCTCAGCCATCGGGCGCTCCGTCGAATACATCGAACGCGAGCTTTCAGGGCTGGTCGACATCTACTACGAGCAAATGAACGTTTTTAGTGCGCTTGTGAGTATATTTGGAGCGAAGGGGCTAGATTCGTTTAGTGACTATGAAAAGCACCGTCACAGCGACACTGCCCAGCAGCGATTTCCCGATCTGATCCGCCGAGGATCGGGTCCAGAACTCGCACCCGAAGATTCGCTCGAGAGCAAGGCCAGTAAGCGACCTTGGGCGCTTCAATCCCATTTCGATCATCCTGGGTGGTACGTAGTGTGGCGATATCTCGTCGATCCCACAGAGACGCTTCAACCGGGCGTCTCGGTCATTATCTGGCGGGTGGACGTGGCGTTCATTGAGAAATCGGATTGGAAATACCAAGGAAGCGGAGCAGGACCAAGCGGCGGCGGTAGAACGCACACATTTGGTTTGTATCGCCCAGCAACGAAATTAGCAGGTTCGGCCGCCTATCACCGAGGAGATGTGGTGTTAGCTCGCGGCAAACCTGTTCCCTTTAACGGCGATCAACACTGACCGGACGCTCGGTTAACCGCCAATACAACAACGAACGCCGATCCCCGTTCAGAGACCGGCGTCCTCAGTGGTCTTGACGATGTCGACGTGCTTGTTGTGATTGTTATCTAGACGTTCAGTTCAGAAGTACATCTGCTGTACAACTAAACATCCAAATTCCTAACTTCAAGCGCGTTCGCCCGGATGAAATCGCGCCGCGGACCTACCTCTTCACCCATCAGAGTTCGGAAGATATCGTCGGCGCTTATCGCGTCCTCCGCAGTTACCCGCAGCATCAGACGGTAATCCGGGTCCATCGTGGTGTCCCAGAGCTGATCTGGGTTCATCTCACCCAAACCTTTGTAGCGTTGGATGTTGATGCCGCTCGTGTCCGAGTTCTCTTCCAACGCTTCGGGAAGTTCGTCCCAGCTGAAGCCATCTCCGATGACCTTGCCCGTCTTCTTGAGGACGAAACGTTCAGCAGAGATGAAATCAGCAACACGCGGGTATATCCGCTTCGCGCGGCGGATCGCCGGGTTGTTGTAGACATCCTCCGTCAGTTCGTAGTCGTTGATATGGAACGTTACCGGCGTGTCGTCTTCCTCTTCGTCGTCCAACGGCTCTTCATTCACTTCTCTCGTGAACGACGCACCGGTCTCGTCGACACTGTCATTGAACAGATCGACTTGGAACGGTCCATCATCGCCGAAAAGATCGTCGTCATCGTCTAGGCCGGCAATGATCTCTGATGATCGATCCTTCGTGAACGACAGGTTCTGCCATTCAGCGTCTCGGATCAAGTCAAAAAAGACGTCATCAGGAATGCCGATTGCCCGGGCGATGTCGAATGCCTCTCGGAACTCTCGGAGGTGCGTAACAGTGCTACCAAGTTGCGTACCCTTCACTGCGATTTTGAAGTCGTCATCCTCTGCTTCGATAGCGAGACCGTTAAAGGCACGTTCCGCCATCCAGTTGTCAAGCTCACTTTCAGCATAGAGCCAGTTGCTACGTCGGCCCTTGGAAGCCTTGTAGAGCGGCGGTTGGGCGATGTAGAGGTATCCATCGTCGATCAACTCCCGCATGTGGCGGAAGAAGAACGTGAGGAGGAGCGTCCGAATGTGAGCCCCGTCGATATCCGCGTCGGTCATGATGATGATGCGGTGGTATCGGAGCTTCTCTGAGTCGAAATCCTCACCCATGCCTGCGCCAATCGCAGTTATGAGCGCCGAGATCTCTTCGTGAGCAAACATTCGCTCCGGTCTGGCCTTCTCGACGTTGAGAATTTTGCCCTTTAGCGGCAAGATCGCTTGGAACTGACGGTCCCGGCCCTGCTTGGCGGAACCACCGGCCGATTCACCCTCAACAATGTAGAGCTCCGATCGGGACGGGTCCTTCTCCGAACAGTCAGCAAGTTTACCCGGCAGCGAGCCGCCGTCCATCGCGTTCTTCCGGATGATGAGGTCGCGAGCCTTTTTCGCCGCCTCTCGCGCACGCGCCGCCGTCGACGCCTTGTCGATCATGATCCGCGCCTCGTTCGGGTTATCTTCGAGGAACTCAGTGAGGCGCCGGCCCACAAGTTGCTCGACAGCTCCCTTGACCTCAGGATTGCCCAAGCGACCCTAGTCTGGCCCTCGAACTGCGGGTCCTTGACCTTGACGCTGATCACCGACATCAAACCCTCGCGCACGTCCTCACCAGAGAGCGTGGCCACCCCGTCCTTGCCCGCGCTGAGCATGTTGTTCTTCTTCGCGTAGTCGTTGAGCACGCGGGTGAGAGCGGAACGGAAGCCGGTTACATGCGTGCCGCCGTCGCCAGTACGGATCACGTTGGCGAACGACAGGCAGTTTTCCACGAACGACTGGTTGTATGGAAAGCCACCTCCACCGCCACGTCGTCAGTCGTACCCGCCGCAAAGATGACGCTGTCGTGGATCCCGCCTCGCCGACGGTTGAAAGTCCGAACGAAGCTCCGAACTCCACCATCGAAACGGAACGTGATATCGTTGTGCGGCCAGTGCGTCTCCTCGTGCCAATCGCTGCGAAGACGGATCGTGAGGCCTTGGTTCAGATACGCCATCTCCCGCAACCTGGTAGTAACCCCGTCCCAGTCGTACGCAACCTCCGGGAACACATTGCTGTCCGGCAACCAAGTAACCTTGGTGCCGTTCCCTGGGAGGTCCGACGATGTCTGCCTTCGCTGCGACATGTCGTTAACCGTGATACCTCGTTCGAAGCGCTGCGAGATAGACGTATCCATCACGCCGCACTTCAACCACCGTCCACTCGGACAGCGCGTTCACTACCGAGGCGCCGACGCCATGCAGGCCGCCGGAAACCTGATAGCCCTTGCCACCGAATTTACCTCCGGCGTGAAGGGTAGTCATTACCGTTTCTAGCGCCGATTTGCCGGTCTTGTCGTGCATGTCGACCGGTATGCCACGGCCATCGTCAACAACCGTCACCGAGCCGTCAGCATGGATATGATGTCGACCGTGGTGGCGAACCCGCCATGGCCTCGTCAACGCTGTTGTCGACGATCTCGCGGACAAGGTGGAAGACGCCTTCGGGACCAGTGGTTCCGATGTACATTCCAGGACGCTTGCGGACGGCCTCCAGGCCCTCCATCACGGTGATGTCTTGAGCGTTGTATTCGGCGGAACCGGTGTGTCCGTTGCCGCTCGTTGCGATTGTGGTTTCGGTGGTCATAGGCCTCCAAGCAGGCAGTTCAGTCGTCTCGCTGGCCCTGTGGCCGCAGTAAGCCGCGCGGTTTCCGGTGAATGGTGAGGTTCTCTCGGACTGGAACCGGCGACGCTCGCAATCACACGCGCCCGCGCGTATACGCGCGCGCAAATTTAAGGTGGGAATCGTCGATATCCCAATGTTACCAGTTCGCATCGCCCGAGTAGCGGATTCCGATGCAATCAAACTGGATTCGAGCCCACTTTTTCCCAACTCACGGAGTTGAAGGCGGATCTGGCGTCACCGTTGCGTCGCCACCTTCGGACGCTCTGACGTTCGTCGTCCTCCGCGATCAACTCCCGCAGGATCGCGTCCCACGCCTCGGCCTGCTCGTATTCCGGCAAGTCACTCATCGCTTCCACTACTGCTTGCGCCGCCACCTGCACGGCCTCTTCTTCAGTTACACCCAAGTCCGGCGCCACAACCCGCGCTTGGCCAATCACGGTCTGCGGCAGATCGACATCCGTGTAACCAGCTTCGATCGTCCCGGCTACCGCGCCTCTCACCGCACCGGACAGCACATCCAGCGGATTGCCAGCTACCTCGCTCGTCGCCGTTATCGCCGTCCTAATCGCCGCTTGAACGTGCCTCGTCGTCCCAGTGCTTGCGCCTGCAATCGCCTTCACCGCCCCATGCGTTACGCCGAACGCGATCTGCGCTCCCTGCGTTCTCACATCCCTAGCGCCCCTCGACGCCGACCTCACGGACACCTTCACATGGCGTCGCACATTCCTCAGCCTCTCACCGCCGCTAATGGTCGCATCGATCAACGACTTCGTTGCCGCAGATATCTGATACGCCGTAACCCCGAACGCAACGTCTAATCCCGACACCCTCGGCACGTAACGCATGCCCGCGATAGGGAATTGAGCAACGTAGCTCATACCGCGGACCGAGTTCAACGCGCGTAGATTCTCCCGCGTCTGCGTCTGCAACTCGTCGAGAAGCGTCTCAGTGTCCGTCTCACCCTCTTCTCGAATCCGCGCCAACAGCGGAATCGTGATGAAACCAAGCAGGAACGCCACCGCGAACAAGAAATCGAAACCGGTCAATGAGAACGCCGGGATGTCAACAACCCGAGAAGGATCGATCCACTGCATGGCGATCCTGAAACTCCGTATCTCAAAGAAGTCCGCGAACGCCCCGCCAATCAGTGGCGCTATCCCAGCGCCAAGGTTCAACGCCAGCGAACCCGCGGCCATATACGACGTGATGTTCCACCGGCGACATCTTCAGCCGCAACGAAGTAACCGAGATATTGACCCCCGCAATCGCCACGCCCAACAGCAGGTGCAGGATCACCAGAATCGGTATCGTCCCCCCGTGTCGATCCGGCAACGTCGTGAACGTCCAAGCGATGATCACCAAAAAGTACAGCGACGACGAGATCGACAGTATCACCTTGCTCCCGAAACGATCCCCCATTCCCCCACACCTGGTAGAAGACGATGCTGCTTAACTGACTCAGCACTGCCAAACCAACGACCAGCGACAGCGGGAACTCCAACCGCTCCAGCATGTACACCGCGAAAAACGGCACCGCAAGGTGAATCACGAAGGACCACACGAACTGAGTAGACGATGAACTTCCTGAACTCCAAATCCATGATCGGACCCGCCAATGTCCTCAACATCCCACCGACCGAATTGGTACCCAGCGTCTTCATCCGAGGTTCGGGAATACAAGCCATGAATCCAACCGACCCGAGACCGAGTATCAACGCCCCGAAAACAAACGCTATCGAATACCCCAACGCCTCCTCGCCAGGAGCCGCGAAACCTTTCCACCAGTCCACGAATATCGCCGCGCCAAGCCCTGTGATAATGGCCGCAACCGTCGCGATCTTCAACCGCCGACCGAAAATCTCGCCCGCATGGTCTACCGGGATGATGTCACGTAGCCAGCCGTTCCAACCGGTAACCACGAACGCTGTCGCGACACCGCGAATCCCCACGAATACCAACAACAAAATAACCGCGCCCTGATGCGGAACGTCGATGAACAGCGGAATCAGCGCAACCGGGACCCAAGTCAAATAGGCGATCGCATACGTCACGATCACAATCGCCTTCCGCATCTGCACCCGCTCGATCACGACCACCGCGAGTATCTGCAAGGCTTGCGCAGCGAACGGAATAGCCGTCAAAATCCCGATGTGGAAATTCGACGCGCCCATCAAAAGCGCAAACGCGGAAATGAATCCGCCCGAAACAAAGCCTTCAGCGCCCGCAGCAGCGAACACCTGCTTGTTCATCGCCGAGTAGCCACGCTCTCGGTCAGCGTCCGTCAGACTGCTCTGCGGCTTAAGGAAATTCAGCAATACCTAAAACTCAACCCTAATGGGGCGAACATATGCATGAAAGAGATTCTAAAACTCCTGTGCAAAATTAACGTCATTTCCAACAACAAAAAATGACGTACGCTAACGGGATTCGCGCACAACCGACACCATCCCGGTGCCCAGTCCCCCCGCAATGTAGGGGCGGGTTTCAAACCCGCCCTGCCCACAGGGGGCTACCAACTACTCGAAAGCGGCCGGATCAACCACCGCGCCCTTACCGAGCGCAACGTTGATCAACTCCACAAGCCGCTGCGCCGACTCCGGCGTCAGCTCCACTGCGATCCTCGGACCCAGCTTCTGCGACGCGTCCACAAAATCGATGTTCAGCGCATGCTCCAGCGTCATCTCCGACGGATGGTCATACGACACCGTCACTTGATTGACCTGCATCCAACCGGGCGTGCCTTTACCGCACCCAGTAACCGCCGTCTTCTCTGCAATCATCGTGCACATGATGTGTTCTCCTTGGGAATGTCGGACCGAGCCTTATCCGAGATGTTTGGGCAGAAACGCGAAAATCTTCTGCCAACCGTCAACCGCCTGCTCCTGGCGATACGGCGACCGGTCGTAGTAGAAGAAACCGTGACCCGCGTTCGTCGTACGATGGAACTCATTACTCTTCCCGTGCTCTTGAGCGCTCCTGTGAATTGCGTACCTGCTCAGGCGACGGACTCTGGTTCGTCTTCCGAAAGGCCGAGGACCGGACACGAAAGATCAGCCGTGTAATCGATCGGCGCCACCGGGTTGTTTTCCGTCAACTCAGACTCGCCATCACGACTCGCCCACCCCAGCAATCAACCACCGCGTCAAAACCCGTCACCCTCGAAGCCGCCAACATGACATGCCGACCCCCGGAGCACGTCCCGAAAGCACCACTTGCCATTCGAATTCGGCAGCGACCTCAAATAGCGCATCGAAGCCGCAAGATCGCCGACCGCCTGATCGTCAGGAATACACCCTCCGAACGTGCATGCGCAGCAACATCCTCCGGCGATGCATGGCCGATCCGGTGATACAGATCCGGCGAAATCGTCGCATACCCATGATGCGCAAACTTCCGTGCACACTCCCGATACCACTCGTCCCAACCCGGCATATGGTGCGCCAGCACCATCCCCGGATGCGGACCGGGCCCCAACGGACGCGCAAAATACGCGTTAACAGCGGTCCCATCATCAGCCTGGACAGTGACCGTCTCCCGCGATCATGCCTTCATACATATCAGTCGTATACACAACGAACCTCCATTCATTCAACTCCAAAGCAACGCTATCGATATTACGCCACACGCCATCGTTTGCAGAATCCCCCTCCCCTCCGTGGGAGAGGGCTAGGGTGAGGGGGCACGGGATAAACGGGGATGCGGCAGGGCAGCGCCACACCAACCATCCACCACCTTCGGTGTTATATTCGCATCATCATGACTGAGAACGCATCGCATAACGGAGCCAACGAAAACGGCATGCGCCAAAAAGGTCCACTCGAAGGTATCAAAGTCATCGAATTCGGCAACTTCGTCGCCGGTCCCTTCGCCGGCCAGATCCTCGCCGATATGGGCGCCGAAGTCATCAAGGTCGAACCGCCAAACGGCGACCCTTGGCGAGCCACTCAGCCCTTCGCTCCCGGCGAAAGCCGCACCTTCCTCCCCCTAAACCGCGGCGTCAAAAGCGTCACCCTCAACCTCAAAGACGAAAACGGCCAAAATGCCCTCGCCAAGATCGTCAAAAATGTCCGACGGCGTCATCTCCAACAACCGGCCCGACACCGCCAAAGCCCTCGGCATCGACTACGATTCCCTCTCCGCCATCAACCCCGCAATCATCTACGTCGACATCACCGCGTACGGCATGAAGGGACCCCTCGGCGGCGCACCCGGCTTCGACCTCGTCATGCAAGGCTTCACCGGCGCCGTCACATCCGAAGGCAAGATAACCCCCGACGGACAGCCAGAAGTCGTCTGGTCGTCCTCATACATCGACCTCTCCTCGCCTACTGCGCCGCCGCCGGCATCCTCGCCGGAATCATCGGACGCGGCGACAGCGGAAAAGGGCAGAAGGTCGAGACCAGCCTCATGATGAACGCCCTCGCCATGCAGTGCATGAGGCTCATCCACATGCTCGACGCACCAACTCCGTCCATGACTTGGTATCAAGAGCGATACCCCCAACTCGTCGCCGAAGGCAAAAACTACCAAGAGCTCCAGCGAGACTACCAGAGCGTCGTCCGACCATCCATCTACCGCTGCTACTACCGCGCATACCGCACCAAAGACGGCGGACTCTGCCTCGGCACCCTCGACTGGGCCGCCCGTGCACGACTCCTCAACCACCTAAACCTCGAGACCCCACGCGTAACCGACCCCGACTACGACTACAACTCCCCCGAAGCCGATAAACTCGCCGTCGACATGGTCGAAACCTTCGAGCGAATCTTCGACTCCAAGACCACCGCCGAGTGGGTCGAAGAACTCAACGCCAAAGACATCCCCTGCGGCCCCCATCCGATTCAACGAAGACCTCGTCTGGGACGAACAAGCCGTCGCCAACAACTACATCATCGAACTCGAACACCACACCGGCCACCGCTACCGAACCTCCGGCCCCATCCTAAACTTCACCGCCGGCATGCCCGACCTAAAAGCCTCCCCAGCCCTAGGCGAACACAACCACGAAATCCTCAAAGAAGCCGGGATGACGGAGGATGAGATCGCGGCCATCGTCGGCTGATTCGCTAATGGTTGGAAACGTATGCTGAGCGACGAAGAGTTCGAAGTCAGCACTGCCCAATGACGTTTGATCCGGATCAGTTCGAGCG